AAGGTTTTCATACTATGTCCAAAATAATCTATTCATTTTATTAAAATAGGAAATAAATATATTGTATGTAAAAAAACATTAATTTGTAAATGTTTTGTAATAAAATTTCATAATTATTTAAAATATCTTTACGCATTTCTGTTTCTTCTGATAATATTTATAGGCATGTTCATAGGAAAAATCATTTTTATGAAAACTACTTACCCCATAAACACTTGAGCAACCTCATGAAATGAATCTTAGTTAAATCCGTTGCATGGAGATGGGAGGACCAGGGTATGGAGAAACCCTCATGAGTCTATGAGTCAATCAGCCTGTGTGTCAGCACTGCTGGCTGGGGGTGGTGGTGTGATGGTGTCGGGCACATTCATGGTACACATTGGGCTCCCTGATTAAAGTGCAGCATGGCTTGAATGCTATAGAATATCTGAACATCATCACCAGTCAGGTGCCTCCTTCATGGCATCATGGACGTTAAGCCCAAAACAGCGATAATACCCAGTCATTCCTAGGAAGGCCAGCACCTGGTTTTTAGTGACAGGGAAAGGGCTTCATGGTCTCACTCTCCTTTTTCTGAGGCCGCTTCTGATTGAAGTGAACGAGATGCTTTGATCAGCTCAGTTCTCTAGGTAGGCTGCTGCATACTCACAATGTGGCTGAAAGACAATGTCTATCAGCCACTAGAAGGCACCAGGTGCCCCATGGACCCCAATGGAGAGAACACAGAATTGCCAGTGATCACAGTGGGTACTGAAGGCCATCTTCTCCGTGGCAGCCAGGATGAGTGGTACCTTGGATTACCCTTTCATGAGGTCCAGGCTGGATTTTAAGCAGGTCTTCCACTAGTTCATCCACCTCTGACATGGGGTAGCTGTCAATCTGGGAAACCTCATTCATCTGGCAGATGATGTTGCAAAACCAAAGGGATCCATTCAGTTTGGGAACCATCACAATGGGACTGGCCCAAGGGCTGTGTGATTTATTGATCATTGCCAGTCACCACATCTACTCATTTCCTCATTTATAGCTTTTGAACTGGTCTTTGGGTGAGATTCCACAGAACATTTGCCAGAAGACATCCCAAGTCCTAAGACTAATAATAAACAAATGAGTCACAGGGCCCCCCCCCCCCAGTACCCTGGTATATCGACATTTCCATCCACATTTAGGAAAGAAGAAAATTAAAGAGGGGGCAGTACA